AAGAAACGAAATGACCAATGAAGTACGTATTTTGAAAATGTTGAGTCGAATTAGTCTAGAATCGATTAATTTTATGGAAGAAAACCTTTCAAACAGCCGTAGTCCATAAACTTCACATGTGTCGGGCTGTGATTGGCAAGAACTCGTACGAAATGGATTCATAAAGAACGGAATGTATCTACCGTGTTATAGGGGGGGTCGACTGTATATATTTTATATTTTTGATTTAATATATATTTTTGATTTATAATACAGTAATACCTTGACTTATGCTACCCCAACTTATGCAAACCTGGAGTTATGCGATTTTCAAATATCGTCGATTCATCTTTTGTTTGAGCACCACGCAACTCCCGATTACTCACTCCCCCCACATTATTGTTCAGCTTACATGTTCGGGCGTGTCATGTGGAATTGACACATAGCTACAATTTATTTTGTGTTATTTATTTCTGTGTTTGTTATATCTACGGAGCCTTGAGAGACTCTATGTGGTGATTTCTTGTAACCGTAAACTAATCAAAAGACGAGATAAGATTAATGAGAACATTTATTAGTTATATAGAACTGACTTGGATTTTACACAAATTGTGAAATTATACCCTGACTTACGCGAATTCGACTTACACGGTTATCGCTCGGTCCCACCTATTGCATAAGTTCGAATATATTACTGTATATGTAAATCAAAATTGTTTTTAACATAAATATTTTTTTTATTTGTACTTTTATTTGGAGGTGCAGAATATGTTCAATCATGCAGATGAAGTTCAGGGGAATTTGCAATATAAAAATTAATATTATGGCAACAGCCACAAAAATGGAATATATAAATGTAAACATCCATTAACCTGATTTTCCATTAATGCCAAACAATATGCTGGATTATATCAGGCTATAATTTGACTACTATTTAGTAATTAAATATTAAGTAATTTTACCTAGAGGTAGGCAGTTAGGCAAAATTACTTATTTAATGTATATATATATTAAAAGCAAAATGTTCCATCTCCACTGAAACTGAAATCAACATTTTACAAAGAAGGAGCATGTAAGTAGGTCATATCAGGTAACAGATAGGGTCTACAATTCATTCCTCAAAAGGACCACTTGTTAACTTCCTCTGTAGACTTAGATGAATTCATGGAAAGGGTTAATAAAGGGGAGGAAGGAATTTTTGTAGGAAAGGAGAGACAAAAAGACTTTACTTTTGACTCAGACTTGGAGTTGAAGAGATGGTTGTTCATTTGCTCCCAGAGCAACTATTCATTAAGTTTGATTTTTTAATAATGACCTTTGGTTATATACAGATATAGTTTTAGTTTTATATTATTTTGAATAATTTTATCTGTATATGTGTATATTCATACATATTAAAAGCAAAATGTTTTATCATAGCCACACACAAATAACATAAATTTAAAAATTAATTTGATTTACGTTTTGAAAATTTCACAGCATCTTTTAAACAGTTTTTAAAAACGTTTTACTTTTCAATTGATTTGATTTTAATTAGTTTTGATTTTATTTTTAATTTAGCTTTAGTTTTGGTATAAAGGCCAGTTTTAATTATACAGGGTGGACCAAAAAGAATATACGTATTTCAAACTGATATATTTATTAAACTATCGATAGTAGCAGTGTGCTGCGAGTATCGGAGGAACGAGTGCATTGTCTAGTTTGTCCCAGATGTCAGTTGTGCTTGGTTACAATGACGTATTCACAGTTGTTGTAAAATGGCTACGCCACAGCACAAAAGCTTTTGTATTCTTGAGCTTGCAAAGTGTAATTCCGTGATTACAGTGCAAAGACGTTTCCGGTTGAGGTACGAAATTGATCCTCCGAATGGATGGAACATTCGCAGATGGTACCGTCAGTTTGTTGACACAGGTTGTGTATGTAAAGGAAAGAGTCCTGGCCGACCTCGTGTATCTGAAGAAAATGTCGCACGGATTCAAGCTGCTTACCAACGTAGCCCTTCAAAATCAACACGTCGTGCCAGTCGGGAATTGCAGCTGCCTAAAACAACAGTTTGGCGTGTTTTGAGACGCAGGTTAGTTATGAAGCCCGGACCCCGGTTCCCGGACGGAACTCTTGCCCGGACCATTCGTGTCGCTGGTGGAGGACATATTGAACACCTGTAATCTAAACTAGAGAGTTTCATAAATATGTGTCCCAAGTTCCATAGTTGTATGTCTTACAGTTTATTAAATATATCAGTTTGAAATACGTATATTCTTTTTGGTCCACCCTGTATTATTATTTTTAGTTTTAATTAATTTTTACATTTAATTTATTCAGTATTAATTTAGTTTTAGTTTTTATAATTACTTTTAATAATTATTAATTTAATTTTGCCTGCATTTTTTTGAACCCTAATTACAATTTTTTTTATTTATTAATTGCAACTCTTTTTTTCTTTTGCAACATAACTATTGAAATTGTTTTAGATTTGTTTTGACAAAAGTTAATCAAATTTAAATATATTTTAATTTTTTTAAGTAATTTTGTTAATTTTTGTTTTATAAATTTGTTTGATGTTTAAATATTTTTTAAAATTTTAATTCTGAGCGAGTTAACATTAATTTAATTATTGGGCTACCTAGTTATTAAATAATAGCCAAATTATGAATCCAATATAATCTGGCAGATGTTTGCCCTTAAAAATGGAATAGCATTTTGGTTATGCTCCTAGACAATAATTGGGGAAATTGGCCAAAATACAGAAATATTGTGTTTTAAAAGTTAAATTGGAATGTTGTTTACTTCATTTCTACTCAGTTCAGTTGCTTATTACATTGCTGCCTACTTACACTGTTATGTGGTTGCAGCAAGGATGAGTCAGAGTTACCAAACCATAGCTTTGATTTTTATGAAAACTTGAAAATAAAAGAGAGTTAAAAAAAAAATTTCATTTTTTATTTCAAAACTTTTTTGATATAATTTTATGGTCAAAATTTCATATTGGCTTGAAATAAAACAAAATATTCATTTGTTTCCCTTGCATGGAATATTTGTAAATTAATAGACTGTGTTTAAAAACTTTTTTTGAATTGTCTCTATTAAATAGAAGTTTTATCATCATTTTAGAAATGTTATTTATCTTTACTTTTTTAAATTTTTGTAGATTTATTATAAAATAAAAAATATTAATGTTAAAATATATTTTAAAACAAAAATATGGTTGTTTTTTCAAATAGTAAAGAAAATGTCAGTCAAAATCTCTAAAAACTTTTATCTTTTTTGTCAAAAAGTAGGTGCATTTCTTAAATAATTTTTAAAAAAATTCTACAACTGTTGTAAAGAAATTTTTTGTTGTTAAAAAGTCCATTCATTAGCAAAAATACTCACAGTCACTCATGGTGTTGACTTCAGTTTTATTTATATTAGTCAATATATTAACAAATTTATAATTGTATGTACTATTGTGTGATGGTATGTGCTTATATTAAAGCATTCTTTTAATTATAAAAATTTTTGCATTAATTTATCAGTTTAATGTTGCACAACAAGTAATTAAATAGCTTATGTGTAATTTATATTATTTATTTTGAATATTCGAAACTACAGTGAGTGATCAGTTAATGAACAGTTCAGTTAACGATCAAATCAGATAATGAACACTTTTGTGAAAGATTTTTATGTTCGGACAACGAATACATGATCAGATAACGAACACCTCACAGAACAAACACAAGAAGAAACGACATAAAATAATGAATACTGATTGGTCTTCCCTTGTCTTCAGAAAACAATTCGAAACTTTTTGGAGCGCAGGAGATGTCAACATTGATGCTCAACTTGGTATATACTGATTGGATAGTATTCCTCCGAACTTTGAAACTCTCCCTTGTAATTCCAACCTTTTATTTTTCTGACAGAAACAATTTTTTTATAGTATTCCAGAGATTGTTGGGTGGGCACTTGTTAACAAGTGTCCACCCAACAGTCTCGGGAACCCAACAGTTTTTCATCGGTTTTTATGTTTGAAAGGTGAGAGTACTATGTATTGCAGCGCCATCTATGGCAATTCTAAATGTATATAGTTTGTAGTGCACCTGCGCACCTCAGTCAGTTCTGTACTGTTCATTGTTCAATAAAGACATGCTTGTTACTTGTTCTTACGAATCCATTTCCATCTTTCTTAATCTAATTCCGATGACAATACACACCACAGAGTATAATAGCAAAGGTAGAGAGTGGGCAGATGTCTGATGTCGCTGGGCAGTATGGCTTGAACAGGTCTACAGTAGGCTGCAGTTCAATCTTATCTAAGAAAGATGCTGTATTATCAAGAAGACTCAAGCAGCTTAAGAACAAAAATCATATCTGAGAAATAAAGAGCTCATAATGGAACTTGAAACAGATCTGACAACAGAAAAATGCCAAGAACTCTTGAATGAAGAACACCAAGAAACTCGGTGAGATATGTTTTCTTCTGAAAAAGAGAATTAACGTCGATATCTGCTATTAAACATTTTTTTTTGAAGAAGTGGGATGATGTCAGAACGACGGTCTTAGAATGGCATCCAAACCAGGTTGAGGTTAATAGGCTTAGGGATATCTACAATTACAATGCTATTAATTACTTCTGAAAAATCTTGAAGAAGAGAGAAAAGCAATCGATATTAGACAGGTTCTTTAATCCCCACAAACAGAAAAAACATGACTAATAAAAATACAAGACTGTGTATGTATGTATTTTTATTATTACATATAAATAAACATAGTAAGAAAGTAAATAAATAAAAACAAGAACTTATACTGGAATGAATAATATAAATAAAATAAAATAAACCTTTAACTATCCAGCAATAAATAATGTTTATTTATTGCTGAATAGTTAAAGGTTTATTTTATTTTATTTATAGTAAGAAAGTATATATTTTTTTTATTTTTTGGGGTCTCCAGAATGAATTAATCAAATTCCCATAAAAACCTATGGTAAATCGATAATTGGTTAACGAACAATTTGGATAGTGAACAAAGTCTTGGAACAGATTATGTTCATTAACTGATCACCTACTGTATGTAAAAATAATTATTAATTGAATTATAAATTGTTTTTTTATTTTGTGTACTAGTGTGTAATAATTATTGGGAAAATTTTGAGTCCTGAAAATATTCTGCACCTCTGTTATTATTTTAGAGTTTAACTAGTTTTGTTGTTCAGTAAACAGTAGTTTGTGTTTTGTTTTATTTATTTAACTCTTTATGTAAACTTTGCTTAAATTGGGCCAAAGTAATTTTAGTTTTGATGTGTGTTCCAATTAACCAGAATCCACTGTACTTCAAAAATTTATAAATTAAACAATCAAACATAATAGAGAGGTTGAGGCGCACGTTTTAAACATGTAAACGTGTACGTGTGACGTTCGGCGCCGCTTTCCCGTAAGCCTAAAAGTTTGACAATGGTGTTTGGATAGTCGGTGGAATCACGCTCGACATTCCAAACACCATCGTCAAACTTTTAGGCTTACGGGAAAGCGGCGCCGAACGTCACACGTACACGTTTACACGTTTAAAACGTGCGCCTCAACCTCTCTAATTAGTAAGAAAGGACTTAATATTATAAGAGTTTATTGTTTTAGTCTTATTTTCCTATATTAACATACAAATATTGAATCAATTAAATATTAAATTAAAAATTATCTGCATTCCTTTTTACATTATAGCAAAGTAAAGCATTAAGAGATGCAGTTCAATCTCAGTCAATAATTACAGTGTTGAGAGATGGAAAAGGTAATCTGTTTTATATTCAATAAATTAGTTATATGTTGAATTCATAAATTTTAACTAAAAATCTTCATTGTATTAAATTTATTTTACATACATAAACACTTTTAAAGAGTCTATCCCATTAAACCTTTTCTATTTATTCATTTATGATGATCTATTCTGTTTGATGTTCAGTTTACAGGTTAATGGCACCAGTAGTTGATTATTTAATGTTGTTTTGGATTTTGATATATTTTATTATGATAGGTAGTAATGTGAGATATGCGCGAATACCAGAGACAAAGAAACACAACTTTTATGATATGAAATTCTTTAATTCGCGCACAGAATACTGGAAATGTGGTTCGGATGTCAGCTACAATCTCTACCTTTGAACATTTACTTAATTCCAGTAACAAAATCTTTACGGACCAGTTATATAACGCGACAATTTCATAGTTTAATGACTATTCTACTTATAGAGTATACAATTATACCTTATAACTAAGCTTACGGCTAATTATTATCTTCTAAAGATGAAAATTAGGTCTAAGATAAGATAGGAATTGAAATATAAAGATGAGAGAAAAAGGAAGTCGGGTACCCAATGATTTCGGTGTGCTTCACGGGGAATTGTAGTAAGTGGGGGGTGAGCCTCTTGATTCACAGTGAAAGATAATTTCTTTCCTGTGGAAATTTTCTTGGTCTTCACTATACACTTTAAAACGCACGAAAACCCCCTTCTCAGTTTTCGTTAGCCTCCGTATTCTTTTCTCCTCGAAAAGTCTGTTTGGTCTCCACTCAGTTCATCAACCCAAGAGCCTTCTTCACATGTCCTTTCTTGCCCTATACTACACCCCAGAATGAACTCCTGGACCCCGTTATATCCTGAGGGTTACACACCTTCCCCTTTGTTACTCAGGGGTCACCTGCTGTTACACCGTTAAACAAAAGTAGGGAGAAACTTCCAGAAAGAAAGACAATAGAAATGAAGACAAAGGGAAATATATTTAATAAAAATATAAACTATAACTATACAATTATGGCATGTAGCCACAGTAACACAAAACGTAAAATTCATATATGAAAATAAAGTTTCTTCTATACTTGTCATGGAAAAAATTATTTTTTTTAGATCTTTGTTTACATTATGAAAAAAAAATAATTTAAATCACAGAGGCTGTTCATCCAGTAGTCGACCAGTGTATCTCACATTCATTTATGGCAATTTACAACTGAATTTTTTTTATTGAGATCCTCCCAAATGTGATAGCTGTGAAAGGATAAGATAGCTTAATAATAGGCATTTTACAAAAAATACACATCTGAAACAGAGCTCTCATTATCTTCTAAAGACCTGACAATGCTTCACATGATCAACTACAAGAAGAGGTGTTGGGCAATAATTTTTCCCATCACTGAGTGAGGCAACCTATTATTCTTACATTTCATTGAGAATGTGATCGTCTTATGATGCTTCCTGTGATGATGGCTTGCCTAAACCTGCTTTGATGGACTAATTATTATGCATGGATTTCATCTTACACAGTTGACTGCTTCTAGCAGTCATCTGTGTAAGCTGAAATACTGTAATGAAATGGGGGCTCTTATTGTTGACTGCTTCCAGCAGTCAACAATAGATACTAAATTTTATTCTAAATTAAACATTATACATTTTTCTTTTCTCTAGATTAAAGTTTTTAAAAGATGTCTGATATGTTTACTGCTTACTAATTTTGAAAATACATTGTTATATGATAGAAAATAGGTATATTTAAGTTTTTCTGTCATACAATAATACTTGTTTTCATATAAAATGATAATATTATAGAATCTCTCTTTATTAAATAATAATTTTTTTAATATTTCTTTCACTCTGAGAATGCCAAGCTAGGTCATTTAGAAAAAAACAATGATGGTGATTTTGTCTCACGAAAATTGAACTGACATTTTCTAATAAATATATGATAATTTTTTCTTGCTATCATCTAGATAACTTTATTTAATATTTACAAAACTATACAGGGTGTCCCATTAAGACTGCAAAAACTCTGCAGAGTGAGAATGGTTCTTTGATAATTTTTTATGTACTCTGAGTGTACATAAAAAATGATCGAAGAACCATACCTCTACAACCCATAGTTTTTGAGAAAAATGCAAAAGTAAAAGTATGACATCACATTCAGTGCACAAAATATAAGCTTTATTGGAAACACAAACATCGGCACCTGTATATTATATTGTGACAAATGCAAGAAGCATCCACTATGCTTCCACACCATTTGACCGAAAGGTCAACATTGCATTTGTGATGACAGTATCATCAGGACTGACATCACTGTATCTTTCAGGTAGACACAGAAATCGTGATGGCTGCTAAGTTTGCTTTTGCATGAACGGTCGCGTCTGTAAGCAGTTGGACTTGAGATGGAAGAGGTCTGAGATACAGTGCGTCTTAAAGAAGTGCACCAAACAGGATTAACAATAACAAATATCCATTTATTTATCATAAGCTATTTACAAATAGGAATCATATATAATATTTAGCATTTGAAAGGCTGAACATTAGTTATTGGCTATCATGTTGTATATTATTACTATTGGCCCTTGTATATTATATAAGGCTAGCATATTATAACTAAAAGCTATTGTAACTAACCTTGTAAGTCCTAGTCTTGAGAGAGTGTACATAGATTTGTAGGCAGATAAATACCTTGTAGAAAATTTGAAGATTGCTGACTGGTTTGATGACTTAACAAATTGATAACTCAGAAGTTTCAATGGAAGACTCTTGATAGTAGGTAAATGGATTGTCCAGATAACAGGAGAATTGTTGGAGGGAGGTATCCGATGTGTATAAGAGATCTGAGAACTCATGCATGTAAGGTGTCTGAGTGTGGTAAGTTCGATGTGTGTAAGGTATCAAGAATGTGTACAAACCCTTTGTGATAGACAAAACTCCTCTGTTGTCATCGGACATCACCTTTTATTTAGGTCCTCCCCTCTTTCTTATGCCCTTTTTTTGGTAATGTAAATCTCCATGTCCAATAGCAATTTGTTAGTTAGGTTCCTGGTGACACATTCAGTGTATTATCTTGGAAAGGAAGTGACTCCAGGATGAAAGATACAATCATATCCATTGCATTTAATAATCGTGGGAAAATTTTAAACACAATTAACAAAATTTTATTCAAAAATTTTGTTAATTGTGTTTAACAAAATTTAGAAAATCAGTATTTAGAAAAAATATATCAACAGAAATCTAAATATTGCTTCAGAATTAATATGTAAATTTTGAAAAAATGAATTTATAAAGATTTGTAACTTTTGTAAATTCATTTTTCAAAATTCCTGGATCTGACAAAATTTTATTCAAAAATTTTGTCAGATCCAGGTTCTCACAACATTATGCTTAGATAGGAAGATGCTCAAAATGACCACTGCGATTATCAAGGCATGCATGCATATACCATAGAATGGCTGATAGCACACGAACTTGGTTGTCTGTCTATATGCTGTGTTCATTTGTGGACAACACAATGCTGGATCATCTGCAGTCAGCCATTCTATGGCATGTATATGCATGCCTTGATCTGCATGATGGTCAGTTTGAGCATCTTCCTATATAAACATAATGTCATATGCAAGTACAGATGTTCATGTTTCCAATAAAGCTTATGTTTTGGGCACCAGATGTGATGTCATACTTTTTCTTTTTGCATTTTTCTTTTGAAAACTATGGGTCCTATAGGTTTGGTTTTTGGGTCAGTTTTATGTACTTTGAGTGAAGCTTCTTGCTCTGCAGACTTTGTGTGGTCTTGACAGGAACCCTGTATAATTTATAAATTTTGAAAAATGAATTTACAAAAGTTACAAATCTTTATAAATTCATTTTTTCAAAATTTACATATTAATTCTGAAGCAATATTTAGATTTCTGTTGATATATTTTTTCTAAATACTGATTTTCTAAAATAATAAAGTTTAAATGTATATTATTATTTTATTAAATGAACTAATGAATTTGTTACTTTTCAAGTTTTATGTTTGTGATTTTAGATGTTTTTTAATAATTAAATTTATTTTTATTCAGATTTATTATATTTACATTAATTTAAATTTTTGTAGACTTCATGTTGATAATAATAAAACTTCAATAAAAACTGCTAATTTTAGAAAATGTTTAAAATTCAGTTTTATTTTCTATAAATTTATGAATGTTATAAAAGTAAAGTTAATTAAATAATTTATTCTTGGATCATTTAGAATTTCTCCAGTTTTATCTGATGATAAGTACTGACTTTTCAATAATTGATTCCTAGAAATTTTAAACTATTATTGAGAGTCAACAAAAAAATTGTAACATTAATTAGCACATCCTTCACATAGTTCTTGTGAATTATGTAACATTGAAAATGGGACATGTAGATAAAAATTTAAAAAGATAATTCATTTATGTGACTTATTAAATGTTAAAATAAAAACAACTATTTTTTAAAATATTAAAAGTTTTGTTTATTTTCAAAAAAATATTTTTATTTATTTTATTTTAAGAATAAGCAACAACTTTTTAAAAAATTCATCGTTCTTAGTGATAAAAGAAGAGAGATACAAAGTATTAAAATTTTCTGTAATAAAAAACTCACAATTGAATGTTATAGAATTTTTTTATTTGATTAATAGTATATTAAGTATATCTGATTTCATTACTGAATGATGAAAGAAATTTAACAGATAAAACTTCTATAGAAAAAGTTAAATTTTTAATGCTTAAAAGCATTCTCAAAAAGCAATTTTTATCTGTTATGAGATTTGTTAAAAATTAATTGAAAATTAGGATTTTGTATGTGATTCTACATATAAATTGACGGTTAAGAATAACTGTTTTGTAATAGTTGTATAGTTTGATTTATGAATGGAGCTCTCTTAAATTATTAAATTTAACAAGTTAAAAAAGTAACAAGTATTCGTGGCACACAAATGTGCACTTTCTACATACTTCTTACATTTTTTGTCTTTTCTTTCTTTTGTTTAAAATTTGTCTATCTGGATTTATTAGTCTTTCATGTTTAAAAAAAAAAAAAAAAAAAAAAAAACACAATACAGCTTGAACCTCATGCTAAATATCACATAAAAAGAAAGTAAAAACACATTGAGTGTGGCATTAACAGTTTTTTATTTTCACTAGCACTTTCAATGAACTTATGTTCATCATTTGCAGGAAAATGAAATTTAAAATATTTTAAACTTAGTTCACTTGAAGATGATGAACATTTGTTGAAAGCGCTAGTGAAAATAAAAAACTGTTAAGGCCACACTAAGTGTGTTTTTACTTTCTTTTTTTTTTTTTAAATAGAAACTAATGTAAACTAATTAGCATTATCTAAATAAATAATTAAAAGGGATCAGCTACAATTTTAACAGAATAAATGAGAGAATAGATGATATTAAGAAAACTTTAAATGGAAAATAATAACTGTAAATAATTATTTTGATAATTAATAATAAATATATTTTTATTATGTATAGTTTTCATATATTTCAAGTTCATATTGTGAATTAATATTAAAAAATAACCTTAAAACAATTTTATCTATTTCAATTTAAGTGTTTGTTATTAAAAATAATAATAATAAATTAGGTGGATAATGTCTACTTTGTAACTTGCACTATTGGACTTTTCTATCCAGTAGACATTAGTTTTATGTGGAAATTTAGATCCAGTAGATTCTATTGTGCTGTTTATGTATAAAATTTATTTTCAATTTAACTGGATTTTTGAGTCATCTACATTAGTAAATTATTTGATAACAATAAAAATATTAAAAAATTGCTGTTCTCTTTCATTAGAAGTATGTAAATCATCACATGAATTAGTTCCAGGAGATGTTGTTATTCTTCCAAAGAATTCCATAACAATGGAATGTGATGCTATTCTCATAAGTGGAAATTGTGTTGTTAATGAAAGTATGCTGACAGGTAAGTCTTTACTTACAGTAAACTTAACTTTTTTAATCTTGTTATATTTCATAGATTTTTAAAAATAATTTTATTTAATAATAACTTCAAAATGTTTTTTATTGATCCATTCTTCTAGGTGAAAGTATACCAATTACAAAAATACCTATCTCTAATGACCCATCCCAAATTTATTCACCCCTTATTCATAAAAGAAATACTTTATTTTGTGGAACAGAGATTTTGCATAGTAGACCATGTGCTGATCAATCTGTTAAAGCAGTTGTTTATCGAACAGGTAAAAAATATATGCCTTATTAGGTTAAATATATGCACATGCCTTAATTTATAATTTTATATCTTAATATTTGCAATTTTTGTCATTTTATATCAATTAGTTACATCTTTGTTTCCATTCAAATAACTTGAAAGTTCTTTTTGAATTGTATTAATAAATAAAATTCAAAAATAATTGCTGAAGATCATCTATTGGAATGGCATAATTTTTCACTTTTATGTTTGTTTTTACTTATTTTGTTATTTTGTAATATTATATTCTGTTTGTTACCTGTAGTTGTAACTCTCATATAGCTGTTATTACATTATTATTGACAAGACTATGTCTTGTTTATAAAATCACAGTGCCATCCTGACTTACCAGCTTAGAGGTATAAAGGAGTACATGTCAGGAGTTGCAATTTGGCACAGAGCATTAGGTGCCCAAATCATGCATGCATAAAAAAACAGACTTGTCTTACTCAGGGGACTGAGAACCAAATCAAAATAAAATACAAAATGGCAACACTCTTTCTACAAACAGGCACTAGTGCGAGATTTGTGCATGCATTGCTTGTTGGGAAGTTGAAAATGCAAACGTTGCAAAATTGGGTGAATTCAAGCTCTGAATGATCTGTTTGGGACCTTCACAGAGCTGTAGAGTATAGTGATAGGAACAAAAAAGTCAAAGGAACCATACCTGGGTGGGTGAAGGGTCACCCGGGTATGGTTCTTTTGACTTTTTTGTTCCTATCACTATACTCTACAGCTCTGTCAAGAAGCTGTCCAGTCAAAAGAACCATACCTGGGCAGGTGGGTGAAGGGTTGCCCACCTGGGTATGGTTCATGAGATATAGGACTCCCAAAATGACACTGTGAACTTTTTTGAAACTAGATGGCACTAGTCGTTATAATTTTGTATTAAAACTAACTTCTAAAATATAAATTTTTTTTTTTTACATTTATAATATATATATATATCGTTTGTTGTGCAAAATAAAAAAAATAATTTTGGACAATACAATAGCACGATTATTTTTTCAAAAATGGGAAATTTTCATTAGGCGTTGACAAAAATTCAACTCGGGGCAACACATAATGAGAGAAATTTTGACATTGGATAGGTTAATTTCACCAAAAGTGCATTGTGGATGACCTCGTGGTTATGGCCATATCATTAAAACTTTGCTGGCTGAGGCCAGCAAAGTTTTAATGATTGTGCTGGGTTAAACGTTAGACACCCATTTCTTGATAGGGAATTGCCACTTTACATAGCAAATTTTGTGTTGATGGAAACCAGTGATACCAAAGAAGATTGGAGAATGAGAATGAGATCCATCGTGAGTGTGAAAGTGATCTCACTTAGTAGTGAGTCTCCGAGACATAGTCTTGTCCCAAATATGGCCTTGTCATTTTACTTGTTTATTTACACTCTACACTAATTAAATTGTATGAGACATTCCATGACATAATCCTCACATAAATTAAGAGATTACTATATCACATTATTATTTTTAAAATTTTAATAATTGTATTTTTTAGTTTTTAAAATTTCGCAATTTTCTGAAAGTTTGTTTTTTCAGAGTTGTTTACATAAAAGAATTATGCTGAGATTTCATTCATTAATGTCATGTTTATCTGAAATTGAAATTGTAATAATCAAATAATAGTACACTAGAGTCCCAGAAACTCTACTGTAAATAACTCAACATTCTGTAAAACTCTGTTATTCAAAAACAAAATACATGTAATATAATTTTTACATTTTGTAACTTAACCCTGGGATTAAATAAATTATTGTTCTTCACTGGTGACACTTGATAATAGCATCAAATTCACATATTAACAAAGAATATAATCTTTTTCTAAAATGCTACTGCAAAATGCCATGACACAATGTCACTAAATAAAAGTGGCCACTGAATAGCCAATATTTTTAAAATTAAAATTTAACTACAAAGAGAAGTAGTCACTAATGGTATCTAGTTAATATGTATATGAATTTGCACATATAGTATATTTACAAAAATTCCATTTTTTAGACTAGCATCATAGATTTCTCTTATTTTACGTTAACACAGGAAAACTCATCATTTTCAGTAACTTGCCACCTTCTCAGTCCACAAAAAGTCAAGTTTATGGGACTCTAATGTATGTATTTAAAGGAAAATTTTGTAATTGAAGATACATTTTTGAAATTGCCAGAATTTAATGTGGATAACTTGTAATGGCACATATTCTCCAAAAAATTGCTAGAACAGAAATAAAACTTTTACATAACCTGCATTGTTTATCTTATGTTTTTGGAGTAACCATTGAGATATGATATCAGCAAGTGTCGGGACACTTGCTGATATCATACTTTAAAAAGGTCACATCTCAAGTATTAAGACATTGTTTTTCCTATTTCATTTTAGTTAGCAAAGTTCATTGTAGATATAATTATAAAATAAGTGAAACAGAAAAACAGAATACTGATGTCAAACCTCCCAAACTTATGTTTAAGATACAAATGGCTACCAAACAACAAAATTAATTTATTTTATTTTATCATGTTATTTCTGTTTTATTTACCAAATAATATTAATAAAATATATAATAATTAGTGTCTATCTTACACATAGACAAATGATCTATTTGTCTATTTAGGGCCTGGTAATTCAAAAAGCTTGCTTGTCTCAAATTTTGAATTTTATTTTTAATTTTAAATGAAAAGAAAAATGTAAAACAGTGTGAAGTCATGGTAATTAATTTCTTTACAACACATTCTGTAATATAAAATGCAGTCCCAAAGAGCGCAAAAACATTAGAGAATGTAAGAAGATGCAATACATGCAAATTTGCACATTGAAAATTGAACAAACACTTCTAAAGTGTTAAATTTTATTCTAGGAAATAAAACTGTGTTCATTCTTTTAAGTTTAGAAACTTAAGGATGTATGTAACATTATCTATCAGTAGTGCTAATGGTGAAAGATCCTTCTTTATCTTAAAACAGATAAAAAATTATTTAAGGAATTCTTTGGATTTTAATAATTAATTCTGATTTAAGCTCCAAGACTGACTTGAACATGTTAACATGTTCAAGTCAGTCTTGGAGCTTAAATCAGAATTAATTATTAAAATCCAAAGAATTCCTTAAATAATTTTTTATCTGTTTTAAGNACAAACTTAGAAATATAAATCAACGTGTATATTAAGATGTAGTACTTGTTATTTCAATAATAAGAGTCCTAAATTTATAATAAAAAAAAAATTGTTACTCATTACTTGAACATGTTAACATGTTCAAGTCAGTCTTGGAGCTTAAATCAGAATTAATTTACAAATTAGATTTTGATATAATGACAGATAAATTTTATGAAATAAATGCCAGGAATAAAGCATGATACTGCATGTTAATAACAGATGAAATAATTGTACCCATATGCTTAAATAACTTAATTATTTTGTTTTCTAATTTCTGAAGATTGTTTTGTTTTGTGAAATGTTTTATTTTTTTACACCATAATGTTAGTTGTGCTTGAATATAGGTATCCAACAAATATAAGTATGGTTGACAAATTTATTGTTGTCATCTTCAGGTAAAATCCTGTTTAGAACATAGAATAACTTGTATTCAAATTAAAATGGTAAACAAATTTTTGAATGAGCTTGTACATAATGTGCCTGCAAGTTAAAAGTATGGAAACATGTGCAATAGGTAATAAAACTATAATATTGGGGTTTACCTTAACAGTATAAAATAACTGATAGCTTAAATAAAACAAATAAATAGCCAATGTTTCATCTATTTATAAAGCACTACCATAAGTCAGGAAGATCTAATGTAGGTCAATTGATGGTATTGATGGTTAAAATATATAGTATTTTCTAGATGAATAATAATTCACTACATTAATGCAAAAGCTTTACATCAGCCCATACAGGTTAATAATTAAATTCAAATGTTTGTATGCTTGTAAGAAGACTAATAAAATACCAGAGCAATATTGCCTGTAGGAAGTGTGCAACTGAGATTGCTAGGCACTATGAACCCCTAGGGGCTGATTTGAAGCTATTGAATCAATGTGGTAAAAGAAGTATATTATTCATCTGGCAAACTCTACATACTTTGACCAATAATACTATCAATAGATCCACATTACATCTTCCTGACTAATAGGTAGTGTTTTATAAACAGATGAAAAATAAAACAAATAAAACCACTGAAAAGCAGTCAAAAATATCAAAAATGGTACCATTAGCTGCAAAGATTGTGGGCACCATACCCATATAAAAACCATTTAAAACAATATTTTTTTATTCTAATGTTTTCAATCGAAAACATTAGAATAAAGAAATATTACTGCATTAAATAGTTTTTAGAGTGGTTATTTGTAAATATACAATACTGCTTTAGTACAATTTCAGTTTGTAAAAGAATAATTATGGCACCATGTTTTGGACACACAAAGGAGTGCATTCTGATTAAATTTTATAGGATGCAGGAACCATAAATGCTGCCTTTAATGTCCAGACATTAAAGAAACTACCATGCATTGTGCAACAAACATCCTGCAGTGTAACAATACTTATCCCTGTTCTGTCTGTCTCACTGGGGAGAGATTGAGAAAATGGGATGGAAATTCTTCCTTACCTTTCCTACAGTCCTGATCTGGCACCCACTCATTGGATTTGTGTAGAATCAGGTGTGAGGCCAATTATATATGAACAATCCAACAAGCTGTGCATCAGTATCTTTGGGCTGCTAGAATGGAGTTGTTTTGCAGAAGTATATTTCAACTTCCAAAACAAAAAATATTAAACATTTTTAACATATTTTAAACTGTACATGTAAAGTTCAGTATTACTGTACAGTAATACCCCGAACTTATGTGATAGGTGGGACCGAGCGATAACCGCGTAAGTCGGGGTATAATTTCTCAATGTGTGTAAAATCCAAGTCAAATGCAAGCAAGCTAATAAATGTTCTCGTTAATCTTATCTCGTCTTTTGATTCGTTCATTGTTACAAGAAATCACACAGAGTCTCTCGAGTCTCCGTAGATATAACAAATACAGAAATCAATAACACAAAATAAATTGTAGCTATGTGTCGATTCCGCGCGACACGTCCGAACATGTAAGTTGAACAATAGTGTGAGGAAGTGAGTAATCAAGAGTTGCGTGGTGCTCAAACAAAAGACGAATCGACGAGATTTGAAAATCGCGTAACTCTGGGTTCGCGTAAATCGGGGTAGCGTAAGTCGAGGTATTACTGTACTAGAGATTACCATTCCCCATTAACAATAGATATCCCTATAAAACCATGTAACTAACAATACACATAAATATGATACAAAGTACATAAAACTCAAAACATTACAAGGCTGAAAAATAATGTGTTCAGAAACAAACTTAGAAATATAAATCAACGTGTATATTAAGATGTAGTACTTGTTATTTCAATAATAAGAGTCCTAAATTTATAATAAAAAAAAAATTGTTACTCATTACTTTTAGTATGACTTACATAATACTTATTTTAGATAAATGTTATAAAATTTTTATATTTTTGCATAATAATAGAAAGCTATTTCATAACTTTTTAAGGTTTTAATACATCAAAAGGAGAACTTGTAAGGGCAATACTTTTCCCAAAATCTGTTGATTTTAAACTATATAGAGATTTATTTAAAAGTATGTTGGCTCTTCTTATTCTAGGTAAGCTACCTAAAGTTTTTTTATTCTTTGCTTATTTTGTAAATAATAATAAAAACTTCAAATTAAGAATACTATTTTGCTTTTTATAATTTTAATTTTTTTATTTGTTTAAGATTTTATTTAAAATATAAATTTTATAAAAATATTTGAAAATATATTATACTGTATATTGTATAATATTGTTGAAGTAATTATCATAATTTTGGATAGATAATCCAAAGTCGCATATAACCCACAGAAAATTGCATGAATGAAAATAAAACATTTGTATAATCCATCCTATCATATACCCCACACCTCAGGGGCAGCCATTGAAAGCAAGATACATTTGTCATCTTAAGCACTAAAATATTGCTTTTTCTGTTGTAACAAATTATTGTATATATAAACACCAAGTCCAAATATTATATAATAATTTTATTAATTTCCAAATTATCTGAATTATACTGTAGTTTGGATAACTGTTAATAATTATCCTAAGACCTTGGATATATGATGCAACCTGTTCAAGGTTGCATCATATATAAACTTATTCATAAAATTCATCACATCAAAAAAAGTGCTTCAAAAGTGATGCTGTTCCTTTCATGTTGGTATTTATTCTGGAGTTGTACCTTAAAACTTTTGCTGTAAACTGTGTCCTATAACTTACATAAGAGCATCTTATCCATGAAAAAGTCATCATTCCTGTACAAGTTTTACTTCTGTGGCTTGTACATGAAGGTGGTCAATAGCCAAAGTTTTAGAGTAATATAAAATATTTTCTAAAGGTAAGAGGTTAGACTGCTATCTTATACTAACATTTAACTAATAATTAGAATAATTTTTTAAATTAAATTTAATAAGTATTAAATTTAGTTCAAAATAATAAGTAACAAAATTGAAATCAAAGATTACATTTCCATTTTGCTTTAGTTTTTTAAACTCTGTAATAATCTGCTTTACATCAATTAATACACAAGTGCATACTTGCTTGTTGTCTTTACTAATGTGCGTTTGAAGACACCATCCATGTGTTACCAAATATAGATGGTATCTTCAAACACACAGTAGTATTTAGCCTTAACAGGAAAGTGATTACTAAGAAATCTTTTGAAATACTCAGAAATTCATTTCTGTACTTATTTGACCACCAATAAAATTTAATTGCAGGTGTTTATGAAATGTCCCAATTATGTAAATTGAGTGTAAAACTAATTATTGTTTTTTTTTATGACTAATTTATTTTCTCCTAATAATAATAATAATAATAATATTATTATCTCAGGGTTAGTAACACTTCCATACAAACAAATNACACTGACACACACATTTAATTTTAGTTTTGTTTTGGTTGCTATGCCTTGACTCTGGTCCGGCATAGTACACAGCCACCGGTTTAAACCGAGTATTATCTACTAAACCCAATATAATAATAATAAGCACAGAGCCCAAACGGTTAGGAGTTGAAAGTTGAAATTTGGTACACAGTTAGGGTGCGTCACAAGTACTCACACTAAGAAGAGATTTTCAAAATTCTCCCTACCGAGGGAGAGGGAGAGGATTAAGGCTTACCCTGAAGAACTCGGCTTCTATTGTACTATTTTAGATGTGGTTTTTTGCATTTTTGTGGGAAATAGAACATATTTTTAGACTCGTAAAAATTCTCTAATTAGTCTGGAAATGGAGGACCTAATTCTTNACACACATTTAATTTTAGTTTTGTTTTGGTTGCTATGCCTTGACTCTGGTCCGGCATAATACACAGCCACCGGTTTAAACCGAGTATTATCTACTAAACCCAACATAATAATAATAATAATAAGCGCAGAGCCCAAATGGTTAGGAGTTGAAAGTTGGTATACAGTTAGGGTAGGTCACAAAAACGCACACTAAGAAGGGATTTTTTGAAATTCCCCCGGGGGAGAGAGACAGGATTAAGGTTTCGACAATGGAAGTGTTAAGTAACAATGGAAGTGTTAAGAATGGAAGTGTCAACATTGAAAGTTTTAACAATGGAATTGTTAAGAGAAAGCAATGTGCAAGATGCAGATGCAGTTTTTTTTTGTTTTGTGGGAAATCGAACATATTTTTAGACCCATCTAAAAATTCTCTAATTAGTCTGGAAACAAGGGGACCCAATTCTTGCATTCTGTGAAAACGGTAAGGTTGACTATAACGTAATAATTTTAATCTTCGCTATCGTTACTTTTGCCTAAGCAACACCGGGCCTACCTGCTAGTTTCTTATAAAATCCACCCAATAACATTAACAGAAATAGGAGTTATTTTCCACTGATTATAATCTTAAAAAATAATAGCAAAATTATGGATAGATGGAAATTTGCCTATAGTTCTTAAACCGTACATGTCATAATACGTAAAATACACAATTATCTTTGAAAACATAACAAGTTATATTGGATGAAAAAAACTTTTACTGTCATTTTGTGACTACTACTGAATGCCTTAAAAATATGTTAACATACCTTTGTGAGATCTACCAGGACGTAGGTCTTAGTCTACGCCACTTACGGGCACTAGTCGGTAAGACCAGGTCTCTAACTTTTTATAGGAGAGCGTAAATAAAGATGATCTGAACGGCGAAGTTCAGATGTTCGTCAGGATTCCTTGACACCAGTTAATCAAACTTATTATACGCGGATTAACACGCGTTTGCGATCTGATTCGGAATAAATTGAGGAGACATTCTTATAAAATAAAACAAGAGTAAATTTAATAAATCCAAACAAACGAATACACATAATCGATAACAACAATTAAACGACAAGCTAGAGGTTACGACTTAACCTATGCTAATGCGCGTTCGAGAGAGAGAGCTCACAAAATGATTCTAAACATACGACCTGTTAGTTGTCGTCGTCTTCGTTTCTGTAGGTAGAGGACACCTGGTAGATAGGGTTCATATTACTTTCATACGGGAGATCAATTCGTGCACAAAAATATGAAAATATCACTTCTTCTAAGTGTAGACTCGGGACTTAGTCTATCGGACTCCGTTTAGGGCGTTGGCCATCAGGAGGGAAACGTATGTGGAGTTTGTATGCTTCGGATCAGTCGAAGAACTCCCCGAATTCTGACTAATTTCCTTTATATCTCAAAATTTTCGTCCAATCATCGTCCAGTAACTCCTTCGTGAGAACGGACGAAAGGGGGATGAATGAGGGGTAACCATTTCCCATCTGAGCGAGATTTTTAACCAGATACGGAAAAACAGAAGATGTTCTCTTCGATGAAAGGAAATAACATTTGTTATCTGATTTTTCCCACGTCTAAAACAATATTTTTTTCACAAAAACAAAGTAATATTTCGTGTCGATATTTAAACATATTTAATAAAAATTCACAAATTAGACCCAGGGCCTTTTGGATCTCACACCTTTTTATTAAAATAGTTGATATTAGTGGGATGGATGTGTCTTAAGAGAAGCAGCAAGATTATTGATATTCAGTTGAAAATTGGTAAGTTTTCAACCAAAGCAAACCACCACAGTTTTCCAAGTTCAATCTGTTCCTCTGTTTTGTCAAAATTGCATTCACATGGCTAAAACCAGCTTCAGCCATGTATGAAGTTGGGAATGCAAGTAAGAAAGGTTCGGTTTCTGCTCTGAGCTTTAGTGGCAATATTGTTATTGCTCCAAAATTCACCGAGATTTTTATTTTTAAACAACGCTTTAGCTTTGAGATCTACACATATTTCACTCAGTTCATCTTCTAAGCCAGGTTCACTATCTTCATCATCTATTTTTACATCAAATGGATTAGTAAACCATTTGGGAACGTGCATATTCTCCAAGTCTTCAAAATGTGGTTTAAAGTCTTCTCTTAATTTATCAAGATGTTTAATATATATCTCCAAATCACGGTCGGAAATCTTTTCATTTTCTTTTAGTACTCACAAGTTTGAAAAATATTTTGGAGGTAATGGATGGCCGCCATCGGTTAGACGAAACCTGGCCGTCTTTCTCCATCCATTTACATCTCCACAAAGACTGTCTTTATCAGAAAGTTGTAAACGTGAATTAGTTAAGTCCACGACCACGTTTTAAACTAAAACAACATTTATTTAACAACATTTAACAATCCTCGAGTACACTTGAAAGAGAGCTACACGTGCTCATGGCAGCGATCACCCGACAAGAAGAAGAAGCAACAATACCCAGAATTCTCTCTCTGGGAAAAACCCAGTTCCCGTTTTTCTATCCGGGATTCCCGGGAAACTCGTAGAGGAGTGGCGCCATCTCACCAGTCCGTGATTTGTCGCCGCAGTACCCCCCTCCTAGCGACCGCGATCGATGAATCTCACTGGGGGTTTGATTTTGCGGCCATGTCGTGAGATCTTCGTCTCATATGCGGGTTCTGGTTGGTGAGTATGCCCAGCCATCTTGTTGCTGGGTTGGTCTATCACCGGCTGTGCAGGGCTGATTGAGTCTTTCTCCTTGAGCATAAAGGCAGGTTTCAGTCTGTCGATGGAGACGACCACTTCTTTGTTATTTTTTTTAATTTTGAAGAATTTGTCTCCCTTTTCCACTACGGGGAATGGTCCGTCGTAGGGAGGGCGTAGTGGGGCGCGTACAGCATCGTAACGTAGAAAAACGTGGCTACAGTCTCTTAAATGCATGGGAACAAAAAGTTTGGGCTCCCCATGCGATGCTGCCGGCGTTGGTGTTAAGTTTTTGAAGAAAGACTTTAGTGTCTTTATGAAATCTGCAGTGTTTATGTCCGCTGGGGTAGGATCGAAGAATTCACCTGGTAAACGTATTGTCTGTCCGTAGACTAACTCACTGGACGTTGCTTGTAGGTCAGGCTTGAACGTTGTCCTTAACCCAAGTAGTACGGTAGGGAGTATCTCCGTCCACCGTTCTGTTAAGTAGGTTTTCAGGGCACATTTTAATGTCCGATGCCAACCTTCGATCATACCATTAGCCTGGGGGTGAAAGGAGCATGTATGTATGTGCTTGGAACCCATTAGAATAGCCAAAGACCGAAACAAACGTGATTCAAACTGGCGTCCCTGGTCGGTAGTAATGACCCCTGGAACGCCGAACCGAGCTATCCACGTTCGGTATAAGGCTTTAGCCACAGTGTCGGCCTCTATATCCTGCAGTGGTTCTGCTTCAACCCAACGAGTATACCTGTCGATCATAGTGAGACAATAGCAATGATTTCCGGAAGGAGGGAGCGGACCAATAAGGTCGATGTGGATGTGATAGAAACGTTTGTTTTCCACGGGGATGCTTGTAATCGGACTTTTAGTATGTCTAGTAATTTTGACGCGTTGGCAAGGAATGCACGTAGTTGTCCACTTGCGACAGTCAGCCTCCATGCCCGGCCATACAAACCGATCGGTTATTAGCTTCACCGTGGCTTTACTGCCTGGGTGCGAAAGGTCATGCATGGCATGGAAAACTGATTGCCTCTGCGTCTCGGGAATAAAAGGGCGAATCTTACCGGTGGACACATCACAGTACAGTTCTACTTGATTTTCTGGTAATATTAGTTTTTTAAGCTGTAGACTGGTCGAACTATTTCCCAAAAGTGATTGGAGGTTTGGGTCGGTCTTTTGTGCATCAGCAATTAATTTGTAATTTATGGGAGAAGGGCAAACGATAGATTCGACTCTGGAAAGTGTATCGGCCGGAATATTATCAGTTCCTTTTATGTATCGAATGTCAGTGGTGAACTGGCCTATATAGTCTAATTGACGTAATTGTCTGGGGGAGCATTTTTCACTTTTCTGGAGAAAAGCGAAGGTCAATGGCTTGTGATCTGTATATAACGTAAAAGGTCTAGCTTCCACCATAAAACGAAAATGCTTAATTGCCGAGTAAGCGGCTAACAGTTCGCGATCGTATGCCGAATATTTCTTCTCCGTATCTGTAAGTTTGCGCGAAAAAAAACCTACCGGCTCTGTGCCGGCTTTAGTGACCTGATGCAGCGCGGCGCCTAGGGCGAACTCTGATGCGTCAACCTGCAACGCTAAGTGTGCGTCCGGAGCTGGATGAGCTAGTAGAGCTGCGTTTGCTAATCGAGTTTTGGATTCCTCGAATGCCTTTTTTGCTTCGTCTGTCCATGAAATTTCCGCATTGTCGGATTGTTTTGCACCTTTCAAATATTCACAAAGCAGAGCTTGAGCATGCGCAGCGTGTGGAATATTACGGCGGTAGTAGTTCAACATGCCTAAAAACCTACGGAGCTGCTTTACTGTTTTGGGTCGCTCGATCTTTATGACGGCTTCTACTTTCTGGGGGAGAGGTTTGATTCCGCTGGCGTTGACTAAATAACCTAGGAAAGGTAATTCATTTGTACCGAGTATGCATTTATCTGGGTTTATTCGGATACCATATTCTGATAAACGTCCGAGTACTTTTTCCAGATGCACGTAATGTTCCTCCTTTGTCTTACTTGCCAACAGGATATCGTCTATGTAGACAAAAACAAAATCTAATCCATGTAAGACTTCGTGCATAAACCTCTGGAAAGTTTGTGCCGCATTGGACAATCCAAACGGCATGTATAAAAATTCATAAAGGCCGAAGGGTGTTGTAATTGCAGTCTTGGGTACGTCTTCGGGGTGGACCGGGATCTGATGATATGCTCGCGTTAGGTCTATTTTGGAAAATATAGTCTTCCCATATAAATTCTGAGCAAAATCTTGTAGATGAGGCAGTGGGTA